TTTGCCTAAGGCCTCATAAAGTCTAGAACCGCCTCTGACTGCAGCTATAAGGTTATGGTGTAAGGAGGTCCTCTGTCTCCCCGCACACAGTGTATTATAACTGCAGCTATAAGGTTATGGTGTAAGGAGGTCCCCTGTCTCCCCGCACACAGTGTATTATAACTGCAGCTATAAGGTTATGGTGTAAGGAGGTCCCCTGTCTCCCCGCACACAGTGTATTATAACTGCAGCTATAAGGCTATGGTTTAAGGAGGTCCCCTGTCTCCCTGCACACAGTGTATTATAACTGTAATGATATATTTTACTTTTTTAGGAAAGATAAAAGCTGTCGGTCACCATCGAATGTTCAATGGGAGTGAAGGGGTTAATCTATGTGTTTTCTAGCCCAATGAATAGATTACATTAAATATTTACCTGAAGCTAAGATATTGTGGATAGCATTCCAAAACACAATAACACTGTACAGGTTTTCAAGCATTACAAATGTTAAACAGTGTTCTGAAGACAAAAAAAAAAAAAAACATGTTTGACTTCAATGACATCACTGTGACCCCCTCAGCTACTAGGATGTCCAAGGTCGCAGAGGTTGGGCCCCATCCAGGACAGGAAAACCATTGTCTCAAAATGAAAATGTTTAAAATAATTTACATTGATAATTACTTTAAATCTAATCACTTAAACATGCTCATGCTGACTTTAAAGTGACAGAAGAGTTAATGTCAGTTAGAACACAGGTTTGCAGCACATCTGAAGCATTTTCTGAATATCATCATATTATTGGAACTTATGGCTCTTTCAGCAAATCAGTTATATGATTAATTGTGGGAAATAACCGAATTGGCAGTTGCATTATTACACATTTAAATAAATAAATAAATAAATAAATATATATATATATATATATATATATTTTTTTTTTTTTTTTAAAGAGTCTTCAGCTTGCCAGCCAATATCTAGGATGTACCCAGTACAAATGGGGTTAAATTCTCCTGTAAATGGTAATTATTGACTATCCTCATTCTTAATCCATCTCTATGGAAACAGAGAAGGTGGTGCGGCCCTAGGGACATAAAATAGAGCCTCCTGTAAGACTCTCGTATTACCAAGGAGAAAGGGAGTCTACCAAAGGGAATCTATTATGAAAAAAAAAAAAGCTTTTATTTGTACCTCCAGTAGTGTGATAGACATGGTTACAACGAATTTATCAAACCATGTTTACTGTGTTTAGAATTCCGCAGAGCTGAAATGGGCTTTTTTAAGAAGTGTCTTGTACTTAAAGGAGCATTCTAGGCATGAGATGCACCATTTTTTATGAAATACATTATATAGATAATTAAATATTAACAACAACCAATAAAGCATATCAAATAAAAATAAATAAAATAATTGCAATTAATTAAATATAAAAATATACTCACATTTAATTTCAAACATTGGCTGCAATTCCACAAGCTATGAAGCTTCTACAGTGAGCTCTCTGCAGACCAGGAAGTGTCTGAGCCAATTATGCTCATTTTAATTTCTGCAGTAAAGGTGATCTTATCCCAGCCCGGTTGAAATTATGTGTTAGTTCAATTGTCAGCTTTCTGGTGTAAAAAACCCCCCAACAAATAAACTACAACACAGAGGGTATCATGTACTGCAGTAATTTCAAACCAGAAAGGGAAACACTGCAAAGTAATCATTATGAAAAACTATACCTATAGAAGATTAATTAAAAACAAAAACAAAACACCAAGAATACATAACTGTAACTTAAAACCACACGTTACCCTTAAAGGGACATTGTAGCCACTATTTATTTTTTATTATTGCCATTTATATAGCGCCAACAGATTCCATAGCATTTTACAATATTTTGAGAGGGGGGATTTAACTATAAATAGGACAGTTACAAGAAAACTTACAGGAACGATAGGTTGAAGAGGACCCTGCTCAAACAAGCTTATCGTCTATAGGTAAGCATTTCCTCTCATTGAATTGCTTATAGTCTATGGAGTCCTCTGGTGCTGTTTCTCCATTCAGTGGTAAATCAATTTGGAGCAGTTTAACACTAAATGAGAGACCCTGGCTTTCCACAGCCCAGCCCCCACTGAAGGTGTAGCTAAGGCACTTCCTTCTAGCCATACCAATTCATACCTGCAATTGGTGCTGTGATAGGCTGAAAGCAGTCAGCTGACACTCTCAGCCAATCACAGCCGCTCACTGCTACTCAGACTAATGCTTCCTCATTAACCCAAGCAGCACAAAGGGGTTGGGCTACTCGGGAGCAAGAAAATATTAAAAACGGTTTAATACATTATTTCTAAAGTGCCACAACATTGTGCAGTGCTCTACAATGGAAAAATCAAAGCACACAAGAAATTGTGACAAATATTACTTGAACAGTAAGTTATGAAGGCTCAGTATATATTTTAGCTCTTGCTCTGAAAAATCCTAACTCTGATATTTGGCATAAATGTATAATTCAGTTGACAGTGCTGTGCAAATCTTTGTTTAGTAAAGAAAAGGCCCAAGAGAGATGTAACTACATGTGTGTTTGCTTTTTGATAGGTTTGTATTTTTTTCTAAGATACTGTTTGTATAGGCTTTTCAGAATATTATGGAAGCCTAATGTGTCAATATAATACCTTTGATATTTTGAGTGAATGAATCACAGCAGCTGTTCCTTACAGAATGCACGTTTGGAGTCTGTTTCAAAGTTTTTGAGTGTCTACAAGTTACCTTTGTCTTTACCAGGCTTTTGCTTGTCTGTGACAGAGCTCTTGTTCAGTAGCCAAAAGGCAGGGCAGACATATGGCTTGTATTCATTAAAACTCCTGCGGGGAGATGGAATTAACAGTATCCACTTCTCCCCAAAAACATAGCCAAGCCTCTTTCCATAGTTTCATCCTCACAACCAGGTTCTTCTGAATGACTGTGATCAGGAAATTGAGAAAGGATGGTATTCAAAAATAATCTAATAATACAAGGAAAGAAATAGCACAGGGCACAGCAGATTAACAAGCTTAGAATATTGTTATTCTCACATCACAACGAGTACTTACATTTTAAAAGGAAACACTTATGTGTGATGTAGTACAGTTGCTTTTGCAGCGACTGCAAAACGTAGGGATGTTTATAACGTACGCTGCATTGTAGTGGAATTAAAACCAGATTGCAAAATGAAAGGAAAAAAATCATAGATATGAAAGTATGGCATCCCGGACTGATATCCTATTTTGTAAACACGATCTTACAAGGTTATTTACTAAAATGAGAATTCGAGGTCAATTCAAAGTCAATTCTAACTGAAAATATAGCTACACCTATGTCCATAAATAATAAATTTACTTTGAATACATTTTGACCTCCTGACTATATTGAATAATTCCACTAGTGATTTGTCTGCTCTGACTCATTTACTTTACGCTACCTCTCTGAAATCAGGTGAGATTTTTTTTAGACGTATGATGTCATTTATCATAAGGCTCGTCATATGGTATTGAAAATCAATGTAATATGGTTTCTGGCAGCAGGACGAGCTCCATAACTAACATAAAACGCAGACATTGCAATTTTGTCCTGCACATCATGACATCAAACGCATTATAAAATTGGCTGATTTTTTATTTTATCATTTTCTTCTTTGCGTCTCCACGTTCTGCTGTGAACCCACCGGATCTCTCATTGTGATGTGACAGCGGTCACAATAAAAGGTCGGGGCATAATACAAAGGATACAGTGTGCTGCTCACTGGAGGGGTTAAGGGCTATTCCTCAATATATCACTATTTCTCACATGAATGTTTGTGCAGCATAATTTGACATGATAATGAAGTGAGCCATTTGCCTTTGATAAACGGTCATCTTTGTTTTACATTTTCATGGTTCGTTCAACCTCCATGGAATTGAATAAAACCCTTCCTAATGTGCCTCAAAGGATTTTCACAGCATATTGGGATGAGGGGAAAGATATTTAAATGTCACATAAAATGGCCCTGGGGAGAAATGTAGCTGAGTATCAGATAAAGGCTGCATGGCACTCGTGAGTGTGTGTGTGTGTAGGAATTGGTTAAATTGCGTTGCCGTATCCCTCTGTGTGTAAATGGCTCGGATGAACAAGAATATAAAAAAAAACCACAATCTGTCTTTATATAACATGTCTTGAAGTTTCCAGCCTTTGTATGAAAATATTCTGAATTTAAGGGTATTATTGAAGGCTTATTCAGGGGATATTATACAGTCAGTACCAAAAATGAATATACTATTTATAGTCCATCATCCATCCATTCATTCATCCATAATAATAAAAATTGGATATTTAGAGGTACAAGCTTACAATCTACATGTGAATGTTAATATATATGTATATATAAAAAGCACATTTCTACTTGTCTGTCTGTCTGTCTATCTATCTATCTTTCTATCTATCTAGCTGTCTGTCTGTCTATCTATCTATCTATCTATCTATCTATCTATCTATCTATCTAGCTGTCTGTCTGTCTATCTATCTATCTATCTATCTATCTATCTGTCTGTCTGTCTGTCTGTCTATCTATCTATCTGAAACACTTGATGGGAGTGCTGAATGGCTGTAACAACAACGTCTAATGCATTTTCTCTTTATTGGACTGAAATCATTAATATCTTTATTTTGTATCCTAGATTTTACTATTTTCCAACTTATTGGTACTGACTACGTTGACATCAGAAAGCTATTTAGGCCATGCCAGGAGGTTCACCATCATCCCTTATGTTTGAACAAGTTTGGCAATCAGGCTTTTCTGGTTAAAGCTCTCCTGCAGACAGAAGGTGGAATTAAAGTAACTCCGGGTACAATGTTAGAATGCCCGCCTGGATTATGGAACCTGCTCAGAACTGCTGGTGAATTAACCTTTGTCTAAAATGAAATGAGTTTCCGAAAGACAACCTTGTGTAAAAAATAAATGATGATTACAGGTATACTTAGTGAATTTCAAAAAAGGTCAGAATATAGTGCATTTCACACAAGGGGACCAAACAAAAAGCTTACAGAACATAAGGTGCTAAAATAAAGACTAATGCAAAGGGAAAAATAACATCCTTATCTCTGTCAAATTATTTTATGATGTTTAGTTTTCTTTGATTTGAATGAAGTCCAAAACAGACAAAGAATCCTTTTTAAACTGCCTTCTGAAACAAATGGATTGTCGCACTGACCATTTGCATTGGGCATCTTAATTTAATCAATGGAATCGCCTGTAGAACAACAAGATGCTTAGATAAGAATGATAGATCATGACAGCCCATGGGTTGCACCAGTAGAACGTTCTTCCAATGATCAGCAAACAATCCTTCACAAGGCCCAAGAAAAATAGAACATTTATATCCATCTAATAAATGTTAATACATTCTTGTTTTTTTGCCATTAAGACATGAAAGTCTCTTTGTTCTACAGATCACGTGTGCTGCTTTTACTATAAGTGTTTGTCTCAGCGTCTACTGATAATAATTACTGAAAAGATATTTTAATGTGCTATTTGTTAAATAATAATCAGAATGTTTTACAAGTAAGGATACAATTAAATTTACTTTTTACATATCTCCGGGGAGAGATGCTATTATTACCAAGCTATATTATTATTATTATAATTTTATTATTTATATAGCGCCATCAGATTTCGTAGCGCTGTACAAAGGGTGGACTAACAGACATTTAATTGTAACCAGACAACTCGACGTACAGGGACAGAGAGGTGGAGGGCCCTGCTCAATGAGGGAGTGGGGTATAGTGACACAAAGGGTAAAATTAGGGGTATGGAGCAAGTTGTTAGAAAAATATCAGCTGAGGGCTTAGTTGGTAATTTTTGACAGTTGCAGGAGAGTATCAGAGGTAAGCTGCATGTATTAAAAGGACACTCCAAGCACCCACAGACGTCAGACTTAATGTCTTGGTTATGGTACAGCTGGTGATGAGGGTATATGTTTATTAGTTTCCATTTTTAAAGCTAACTTTTACTGCATCCCTCCCAACCTACAGAATTTACCTCTTAGCTCCAAAACAGGATATGTCACTGGGAGTTGTACTTCAGAAATGAGCTTTCTATGAGGAAACTTTGAAAGTTTAAACACAGCTCCCTGAAAACCTTCCTTTTCGCACAAAGCACTCTTTATGGAATAAACTCATCTGTGAACTACAAAGTTAACTAAGCCTCGTGATTGGTTAAGTTACTTCCTGGTTTAGTATCCATTTAGCTCTGTATTGACATCATCAGAGCTTAGGCCAATCAAATGTATACAATAACATTCCTGACATGTAACCTGCCACGAAGGGGTAACTGGTTTAAAGGCTATGCTATAAAATACTGGAATCAAAATAAATTCTTCTCATTGCCATATATCAGTATATGAGACTTTGACATAATATTCCATATGATTTTAGTGAAATCGAGGTTGGTACGTTGTCGTAGTAGTAACAAGGAAAGGGATCCCAGCTGAGGTGGTGATATAATATAAAGCAGAGTTTGGTAAATGCACAGGAATGTTGTTAGGCCAAATGCAGTAAAAAAAAGTTTTAGCACTGAACATGCAACCGGTATATTAGATGTGATTGCACGTGGAGGACTGACTGTGTTCTTCCTGTACCAAATGGCCCTTACATATGGTGCTTCATAAACATGTTTGCTGCGCACGGATTTGCTCCAACAAAATTCCTTTGTATTTCACTAATGCTAATCACTTCTAAACTCGAAGTAGTAGCTCAGAACAGATACCAGAAAGCAATACTGATGCACCTAGTGGTCACATCCGGTAACAGTAAAGTTATTTGTTGAATATGCCTCTCAGCAAAGGCTAAATGCAGGTATGTTTTTTGCAGCTAAAAAAATAATAGCATTGGATTTTTTTGCCCTGAGCCCTTTGTATTTATATATATTTATTTATTTAATTTATATTGTATACCTGGTGTTCTGGCACAGTCAGGGCACAACATGCAAATCATATTAACCCCCAGTAAGTTGTAAATGTGGATGCATCCACTCATATGTCATTTCACTTTGGATGCCAGTGGGAACTTCATAGGGTCACGGAAGTGCTGTGGAGGTAAGTGTGTTTTTGTTTTTTTCAGTGCACTATTCACGACAGTTAGTTTTTCACTAGTGAGGAAGTCTCATCCTGTTTCAGTATGGAGGCTGCCATCTAAAAATTGGATCACGTTTTTCAAATCCTCAGCGACAGATACTGATGAGAAAACCAAGGCTGCAGAGGTCATGTGATATCAGCAGCCAATCAGAATCTGAGACTTGCAGAGTAGCTCTAAGTGTTCCACAGAACGCGGAACCTGGAATGATGGTCCTACGTGACCTGTATTCCCGAGATTAGCTGGAAATCTTTAAATTTATTTTTATTTGTATAATAAGCCATTCCCGGACAGAATTATATATGACCTATGAAAGTATACAGAGTTTTCAGCTTGGCATTCAATGGTGCACTAACTAACTAACTCATCTCAATTTCCCCGTATTGGCTGATGAAATGGTTACTTAAAAACGATAGGATGACCCTTAAAACAATTCATTGCATGTACTGTGTAATTAAGCACAGGAAATGCATTTCGGAGATCTTTCCAGTTCAGATCCCACATAATTATTCCATTCTTGATAGATTTGTACATAGGAAAGGGTAAGGAATATCCCACTATACATTATTCTTTGGATCCATGCCTTCTAATTATCTTATTCCTTTTATTTTAATTAACAATACCAATAATTTAATGATATATGAATAACTATTACTTTAACTGATCCTAAGCTGATGTTTCATGATTAAAGGTGTTTAATATGCTAAACAGAGAGTTGTGTTTATCTGATAAACATTTAAGGTGATACGGGAACAGTGTGGTACATTGCATTTTCTGTGAACATGGCCCTAAAATCACATGTGGTCCTGATAAAAAGTGATGCTTAGCGCCTGTTTATCTTTCACAGCAAGATGACATAATTGGTTTTATTGCCGCATTTTACCATGAATTTCAAGGGGATAAAGCTACCCAGCTAGACAAAAGGAATAAAGATTATATCTACCAGTATGTAGGACCAAATTGCGTTCAAGCATGTAACTTGCTTCCAATAATGTTTCTACAAAGACTATTTAAATCAGTGTTTGACTTTATGCAATATATATTAATATATAGTCCTATAGTCTTTTTTTTTTTTAGTTTAAAAGGTATTATGATGTTTCCCCTCTTTATTCTCAGCTGACACTGTCTGTAGAATACTTAGGGATCACAGCAGCTCACACTGGAGGGAACACAGCAGCTCACACTGGAGGGAGCACATCAGCTCACACTGGAGAGAATACAGCAGCTCACACTGGAGGGATCACAGCAGCTCACACTGGAGGGAACACATCAGCCCACACTGGAGGGAACACAGCAGCTCACACTGGGGGGATCACAGCAGCTCACACTGGAGGGAACACAGCAGCTAACACTGGGGGGAACACAGCAGCTCACACTGGAGGGATCACATCAGCTCACACTGGGGGGAACACAGCAGCTCACACTGGGGGGAACACAGCAGCTCACACTGGGGGGAACACAGCAGCTCACACTGGGGGGAATACAGCAGCTCACACTGGGGGGGATCACAGCAACTCACACTGGGGGAAAACACAGCAGCTCACACTCACACTGGAGGGAACACAGCAGCTCACACTGTAAAGAACACAGCAGCTCACACGGGGGGAACACAGCAGCTCACACTGGGGGGAACACAGCAGCTCACACTGGAGGGAACACAGCAGCTCACACTGGAGGGATCACAGCAGCTCACACTGGGGGGACAAGCAGCTCACACTGGAGGGAACACACAGCTCACACTGGAGGGAGCACAGCAGCTCACACTGGAGGAACACAGCAGCTCACACTGGAGGGAGCACATCAGCTCACACTGGAGAGAACACAGCAGCTCACACTGGAGGGAGCACATCAGCTCACACTGGAGAGAACACAGCAGCTCACGCTGGGGGGAACAAAGCAGCTCACACTGGAGGGAACACAGCAGCTCACACTGGAGGGATCAAGGCAGCTCACACTGGGGGGAACATAGCAGCTCACACTGGGGGGATCACAGCAGCTCACACTGGGGGGATCACAGCAGCTCACACTGGAGGGATCACAGCAGCTCACACTGGAGGGAACACTGCAGCTCACACTGGAGGGAACACAGCAGCTCACACTGGAAGGAACAACAAAAACTGCTTACCACTTTCAAACTTGCAGATGAACATGTCCATATTTAAAAAGTAAGTTGTCCTTGTGAATTGCTGGGAAATATAGCAATCTTATCTTTTATATCATAATGTTTAACATGTATTAATTTATATTTTCATGGATTATAATGCTGTCCTAACAATGGATGCAAACACCCACTTCTTCTTTTACAACGGTCCTTTCCACATTATAACATCGGCCATCCTGTACCCATCAAATCTTGCAATCTGCTAAAACAATTAACAAAGAGGGTAGGAAATTGAAAAGGATCATTGTCTCTGTCTTTACCTATGGGTATCTCATCTCCCAGTCTCAAAATGAAAGTGTAGCTTGGCTGGAAGGAGTAAAGGTCTCATTAGAAAGAAACAATAAAACCAGAATGATTATTGGGAATTTGATGAGAGACATTATCTCGTGCCCTACAGAACGGCAAACGTATTCATCTGGAAAAAAGAGGCCTTTTCACTGTCACAGACTGCTGATCCCAGGCCTTCGCTTCGAAATTACCGGCAAATAAATCATTCACTTTCTGTCCCTGGAAGCATAATGTGTCCATGAAAGATGAAGGCTTTACAAGTCTCTGGTATAAATGATAGATGCAAACTATGAGGAAAATCAGGCGCGTATCCCGAAGCAGTGGGTTAGTTGATAGACAGCCACATTTAAAAATCTGCTGTGCATATTTTAATTGAAGATATAAATTCATTAAAAGGCCCAGTAGCAATGCTCAGCCCATCAATAGAACTCAAAATTCCATCCTGCGGCTTAACCAGATAACAGAATCTTTTATTATCTATCACAATGTATTCATTTATTCACGGGGGTAATAGAGGATTACTCCATGGTAAATGCACAAATAAGATCTGGCCGTGAAAGTATAATAGATAACATATGTCTGGATAAATAATTGGGTACATGAGCAATTATTAGCTCGCTGTTACTTTCATCTTTCATCAGACACCTAAAAAAGTCGATAAGCCCAATGTGTTTGGGAAAGATAGGATGAAGGATTTTTTACGAGTAGCTTTGTCGAATATTTGCAGTCGGTCCTTTATTTTTCCTATTTTGTTATTATTATTATTGTTAGAGCAATTGCAAACAACTGTAAAGCAGATTTATGGAAATGGTGCCAATAAATATTTACTACAACAAAACCTGCATTTATAGTTTCCTACTGCCGATAATAAATATGATATGGATTTCTCTTTAATGTTTGAATTAGACTTGTGACTTGTGCAAAAATTTGTTCTGGCCAGTTCGGACAAATCAAATGCATTTTAATCCATATCCGGACAAATCAATATGTCCAAGATTATCGGTAGAGTTCTATTGATGGAATAGGCTAATCTCTGACATATGGATTCGTCCTGGTATGGATCAAAAGGCATTTGATTTATCCGAACCAACCTGAACAAAGTTTTGCACAATCTAGTTTTAATACGAAGAGATCACAACTACAATGTGTTCAGTAGAATAGTCTTTATTGGGAGGGCATAATGCATGCTCGATTGAGTGTCCCCAGAAATGATCTGGTGATGCACCCTCCATTTGGGCACTTTTCCCATAAAAAAATTAGATTTGTGATTCACCGGGACAGATTGCTGTCAGGATGGCCTCTAAGCCTGGCACTGAGTATAGGCTCTAGTGTGACATATTATATCATAACTCTGACTGACTACATATAATATGTGTCTATTAGCGCATAACCTATTCACTAGCAAGTATTATCTGAATCATAGCTCTTTGCTCTCTGCTTTTTTGATCTTAAGTTTTAACTTGCAGGTGTCCATTATACTATAACTCTTTGCCAGTGAGTGTCCATTATACCAGAACTCTTTGCCAGTGAGTGTCCATTATACCAGAACGCTTTGCCAGTGAGTGCACATTAACTCAATGTTCTTTGCCAGTGAGTGCCCATTACATCATAACTCTTTGCCAGTGAGTACCCATTGACTCATAACTCTTTGCCAGTGAGTGCCCATTATATCATAATGCTTTACCAGTGAGTGCACATTAACTCATAGTTCTTTGCTAGTGAGTGCCCATTACACCATAACTCTTTGTTAGTGAGTGCCCATTATACCATAACTATTTGCCAGGGAGTGCCCATTACACCATAACTCTTTGAAAGAGAGTACCCATTAACTCATAACATTTTGCTAGTGAGTGCCCATTATACCATAATGCTTTGCCAGTAGGTGCCCATTAACTCATAACTCTTTGCCAGTGAGTGCCCATTATACCGATGCTCTTTGGCTCTTTGAACATTACAATTTGGGCATAATCTTATTTTTATAGAAACTTTAGATTACAATTAAAACTTGCACAACGTGATTTAATTTCAAACATTTTTATTAACAATTGAAATATATACATTGTTCTGTGAACTTCTTGTGATGGCTCTATTATGTTCAATACTGTAACGGAAAGTGTCCAAACAAATGTTATTTCGAGTGGCACAATATGAATAAAGGATCAAGTGCAATAACGTATCAAAATACAGACAGAGTTGATCAGTACAGAGCAAATTGTCGAGAATTCATCAGAGAATTTTAGAAATAGCTAAAATAGAAAAATTATGATGACCCAGTCTTACAACTTCCTATATATGGTGGGTGTCTTGTATATAGAAGCTGGAACTTGAATTTGAGACAGATCCTTTGACAATGTTGGATAATCTTGGCATCCCAGATACTTCTAAATTGCATGAAGCTTTGGCAATCTTCAGAATGGCTTTGCCTCATGGGAAATGTAGTTCAAAAACTTCTGGATGCCAATGTTACCTATCACTGCTCTGTAAAATCTATTGGGTTATACAGTGGACCCATCTTTTTAGGAATGCTGAAAACCATACAAATCCCTTGTCCCTGTTTAACTTTAATGGTCAGCAGAAAAAAATTGATCTGCCATCAATTTTCTGAAGCTATTTTGTTTTCTATATACCTCCTACATATGATATTTGTGTATTAAGAACCCAATTCACTAGACGTATCTTTTGATGGTAACAACTGTAGCCAGAGTAGTTTGAACAGCGATGGCATGTATCCACATATGTAAGACATAATACCAATATGGGTCAATTTAAGGGGTTCAATTCAACCTAATTAATATGTTTAAATCTAATTTGTCCATGAATGCACTGCTTGGTTTTGTGGAGTAATCATGCAAGGATCTCTAATGAAGATACATGTGATGGATTGTACATATTAGTTGTATGTAATACATGTTCGAACAGTCTTTCATCTATTACATCTTAGGGTTTGGAGTCAAGATTTAAGAAATCCATCATGGTATATGAAGAGGTAAAATTATTGCAAATTTATTCGACAAAATATGTCTGACCCTTTCTTTCTTTGTTAAGTGAATTGTTTCTTTCTGCGATTCGCCTAGAATGTTTGACTAAATGATTCACCAGACATTTTATGTTTTTTCATTGGTTATGAATGTTTTTAAATATGAAGGTACCCTCCAATTCATTTTATATTAAGACATGATCCCATCTTAATCTATGTTCTCCTTAAAGCAGATTTGTCATATTGTATGCTTGATAAACAATATTCTATATTTCTGTTTATATATTGTGTTATTTGTATTTCAATGGATCTCCTTTGCAAGCTATTGTAAGCAGTGATTATTTTACCCTACGGGGTGTTTTCTTAAATTTTTTAGATATAATTTTAAGTCACTTTTAATCCTGATTCCCTCAATTGTATCTAATTGTAAATTGATTGTTGTTTAAACCCCTGCCATCAATATAGTTACAAAGTGGGGTGCCAAATAACATTCTGTATCACGGAAGCAAAGCCCATGATATCAAATAGCACAAACATTTATCATCATTATCGTATAATGAAATAGAGTAGTAATCCTCCTAAGCTCACGCAACATGCAGTCTGAGGATTTTCTATGCAAAAAATATAAACACAATAGTGTGCATTACTTCTCTTTAAAGTATCTCTCATTATAGGTAAACTAATTCTAAGTGACATCTGAATTGGTCATTCCGAACTTGTCTGATGCCTGGACTAAAACTACAGCACACTACTAATGTATTAGCCACGTTTCTAATAAATAAATGAGAATATCTAATCCGTACAACCTGTAAATATGTACAGTAGTCAACACATTCTGAAAGTACGAAATAAATAGTTTGCTGTCTATAGGGAAGATATATTTCCAATTCACTTTTTCGTGATTGTGACCTGTGGATATTTTTTTTCTTTATGACTGGGAGGAATAATCTGCAGACCTGAAATTCAATTTATTTAAGGGCTGTGATGTTTTTTTAGTGTGAAAATTAAATTTACACAGAAATGGATACAGGAATGTCATAAATTTATTGTGCACCAATCAATAGTCCACAGGGCCTGCCTACAAAAAAAAAGATAACACAGGAAACAATTTATATAAATAAGTTGTTGAAACAACAACGTCAACGGACAGTCAATATAAATTCATATAGCAAAAGATTTATATATATATATTTATAAGTTATGTACATAGTTTATCAGTCTATTTACAGAAGTCCTTGTGAATTTAGTCCTGTTAACTGGAGTGGAAACTTGAGGACTCGGATTCTGTTGAAACCGATGAAAGACCAGCACGTTTTTTGGATAATATTTTAAGGCTTGATCCTCTGCTAACAGAAGTCAGGGCATTCTGAGCAGATGTCTTGAATTTTGCCCCCAGGAACGCGTACAAAATTGGGTTGAGGCAACAGTGGAAAAAAGCCAAGGCCTCAGTGATAGAAATCCCCTTGTGCACTGTATTCTCCAACATGCAGTCGTACTTGATTATTCCAATCAACATGAAAGTGTCAATAGTGAGACAGATGTAGTAGGGTAACCAGCATGCGAAGAACGCCAGGATAAGAATGACAGTGGTCTTTAAGGCTTTGCGCTTTTGGTGGCCTTTGGAGTGTGACAACTTCGAGATGATGACGCAGTAGCAAGTCAGAATTATAAGTCCAGGCAACACAAGTCCAACTGTGATGTGTAGGAACCGGAAACCAATGGTCCAGTTTTGACGGTCTTCATGTGGGTAGATACGGTCACACACGTAATTTCCGTTTTCATCGCTGACACTGGCAAACACTAAATCAGGTACTGTTAGCAAGACAGCTGGGAGCCACACCCCAGCGTACACTATTTTTTCAGCTAAAAGTTTCCTCGATCCCTGGCTATTGGTAGCATGGACTATCGCAAGGTAGCGATCGAGACTTATGAATGCCAGGATCAAGACGCTACTGTAGAGGTTGACTGTGTAAATTACATGTACAGCTTTACACAGAAATTCTTTAAAATACCATCCTATGGCAGCATCCACGGACCAAAACGGGAGAGTGAAGACAAAGAGCAGGTCAGCAATGGAGAGGTGAAGACGATATTTATCAGTCATGGTCCTTGATTTTTTTTGATAGCCCATGACCAATACCACCAATCCATTTCCAATGATTCCCAACAAGAAAATGAAGGAGTAGATGGTTGGCAAGAAGATTCGGTTGAAGTCATTGTTCTCGTGGGCGTAACAAAGACCTTGGTAATCATCAAAATCTTCCGAACCATTTATCTCAGTGCTGTTGTCTTCTGTGAAATTGATATCAATTCCACCAGAGAACTGTAGGAAGAAATGAAAAAAGAATGATGAGTTTCAGATTAAAATTCTGTTTATGATTTTTAACAATTCATTAAAAACACATGTGGATTTAAAATGCCCAAAAATATAGTATTACAATGGATTCGTATGATGTCATTGCTTGTAAACTTAAAACAGAGGAGTGTTTATCCTCCTATGACTACATACCATGTAACTCTAGGGAAAAAGGGAGTATCTAGAATTATTTGAAACATTATAAATTGGAGAGCAGAATTACACGCTGGAGTAAAAGGGTGTATCCTGAAAATATTCCTTTCAGTATGTTTTTAGAATTTAAATCTTAAAAGCTAAAATTGCTCATGCTAACATGGATCCGCTATGTTGTCATCAAGAATGCTGCTTGTTCTTTTGTGTGTGTGTGTGTGTGTGTGTGTTTTTTAAACCTCCGGTTATAGAAATAAAACAATGAAAGGAACAAAAAAATCACTTGAGTGTTTTTGTTGAGTTGGAAAATACCAAATCAAAACAGTTCATTGGTTAGAAGTCAGCTGCCGGGTGGAAAGTGATAAGCAAAGAGACACTTGTTTGAGTTGTGACTTATTGGCAATATCTGATCTTCTTTGTTATGAAAAGCAACACTGTATCTAACACAGACTCATGATAGTATTTTCTCTGTTTTGCATGTAACCTATCCTGCTTCAGTTTCGCTACTGGCTCTTAACTGTGCAGAATCGTGACTCCCCAACCCCCAACCCTCTGTCAACCAGCTTGAGTCCTTGCTTTGGGTAATAGGAGTTGCATAAAGAAATTTTTTTCTTATTATTCCAAGGCAAACAGATGGGAATTGCAGTCCAGGACAGGCATTGGCAACCTTCGGCACTCCAGATGTTTTGGACTACAGCTCCCTTGATGCTTTGCTAACATTATGGGTGTAAGAGCATTATGGGGGATGTAGTTCACAACATCTGCAGTGCCAAAGGTTGCATACCCCTGATCTAGGAGATGGGGTAGATTTAGTAAAATGATATAAAATGTACAAATATTAGAGGACTGCCTAAGGGGGCAGCAGTTGAATGTCTAAGACCTGAGAAAGTAGAGTATAGGAGAACAATAACATTTCAGAACCTTTGCTCTAGAGTAGACTGCTTGTGTTGTGTTGCAATAGTTTCCTCTGCAGAAATAAAAAGTTTCAATATTTGGTGTTTGGTGTAAACGGGAAGTAAGATGACTAACTGACAGCAGTTTGGGGCAATAGTCTTTTTTTTGAGCGGGGATTTTAAAAAAAGGGGAAAGGTAAAAAAGAAAAAGGAGGCGCCATTCAGCACAGAGCACAAACCCTGCGCCCTACTTGGCAGCACAAAGAAACCAAGCGATGCATTGCAAATGACTACAGGTCAGTACACCACAGAGTATAACACCAACTGGTACCTTCTTGTTTACAACTGATAAGGCACTAACATATTCTGTAGCGCTGTACAATAGTGTAAAATAAACAGAACCTTTAGAATAGACATACTAAACTTGCTGATCCAGAATGGATGCAGGAGCCAGCATTGTCTGTTTTGTTTACAGCAAAATACATTTTATTATTTTACTTTTTTTGTGTTTAATCTGCATTCATATTGTGATTTGCAGCAATTTGCAATGCATCACATTTCTCCCAGTGCTGGTCAGTAATGGGAAACCTTGGCACCCTAGATGTTTGCCTACAGGGGGAGGTTCATGGGAAACATCTGGGGTGCCAGTGTTACCCATCACTGCTTTACATCTTTGTTGAGTTTTTGGACCGTTCCCCAGACAGTGTTCTCTCTATGCAAATCCACGTGTGAGGATACAGACAGCCTTTCACAGATTATCTGAAGGCTGAGGATACAATGTCTCGGGGCAGAGAGCTCTGTACATCCTCCTGCAATGTGCTTTAGGTCACCAATAAACAAAGCTATACCCTTCACACGAAACCCAGGCACTCACACAGCCCATACCCATCACATGAAACCCATGGACTCACACACAGCCCATACCCATCACATGAAACCCATGGACTCACACAGCCCATACCCATCACATGAAACCCATGGACTCACACACAGCCCATACCCATCACATGAAACCCATGGACTCACACAGCCCATACCCATCACATGAAACCCATGGACTCACACACAGCCCATACCCTTCACACGAAACCCAGGCACTCACACAGCCCATACCCATCACATGAAACCCATGGACTCACACACAGCCCATACCCATCACATGAAACCCATGGACTCACACAGCCTATACCCATCACATGAAACCCATGGACTCACACACAGCCCATACCCATCACATGAAACCCATGGACTCACACAGCCCATACCCATCACATGAAACCCATGGACTCACACAGCCCATACCCATCACATGAAACCCATGGACTCACACAGCCCATACCCATCACATGAAACCCATGGACTCACATAGCCCATACCCATCACATGAAACCCATGGACTCACACACAGCCCATACCCATCACATGAAACCCATGGACTCACACAGCCCATCACACATGAAACCCATGGACTCACACAGCCCATACCCATCACATGAAACCCATGGACTCACATAGCCCATACCCATCACATGAAACCCATGGACTCACACACAGCCCATACCCATCACATGAAACCCATGGACTCACATAGCCCATACCCATGACATGAAACCCATGGACTCACACACAGCCCATACCCATCACATGAAACCCATGGACTCACACAGCCCATACCCATCACATGAAACCCATGGACTCACACAGCCCATACCCATCACATGAAACCCATGGACTCACATAGCCCATACCCATCACATGAAACCCATGGACTCACACACAGCCCATACCCATCACATGAAACCCATGGACTCACACAGCCCATACCCACACATTTCATGAATCTGGCTGCTGTCTAGAACCAGTGGCTCCCAGAGTCACTTTGCATAGAAATTCCCCCAACCACAATGGGGTTTCAAACCTCTATCTATGTATTATTGGAAATCTGTGAGAGGCTGTGCTGGGCAGGGGATTGTTACTTTGTTAAATATAACAAGATGCATGATTTCCTAAACAGAGCTATAATATAATAGCTATAGTATGGCCCAGAGAGGTTACAATACCAGCCATACAGAGATCCAGGCAGATAGTACAAGGACAGGTTAGTTCTTATCATCAGGCAGGTAAGTACAAAGCACCCAGACAGGTTGATATCAGACTGACTGACACTCAGACAGGTTAATATCAGACAGACTGACACTCAGACAGGTTAATAATCAGACAGACTGACACTCAGACAGGGTAATATCAGACTGACTGACACTCCGACAGGTTAATAATCAGACAGACTGACACTCCAACAGGTTAATAATCAGACAGACTGACACTCAGACAGGTTAATATCAGACTGACTGACACTCAGACAGGTTAATAATCAGACAGACTGACACTCAGACAGGTTAATAATCAGACAGACTGACATTCAGACAGGTTAATAATCAGACAGACTGACACTCAGACAGGTTAATAATCAGACTGACTGACACTCAGACAGGTTAATAATCAGACAGACTGACACTCAGACAGGTTAATAATCAGACAGACTGACACTCCGACAGGTTAATATCAGACAGACTGACACTCAGACAGGTTAATATCAGACTGACTGACACTCAGACAGGTTAATAATCAGACAGACTGACACTCAGACAGGTTAATAATCAGACAGACTGACATTCAGACAGGTTAATAATCAGACAGACTGACACTCAGACAGGTTAATAATCAGACTGACTGACACTCAGACAGGTTAATAATCAGACAGACTGACACTCAGACAGGTTAATAATCAGACAGACTGACACTCCGACAGGTTAATATCAGACAGACTGACACTCAGACAGGTTAATATCAGACTGACTGACACTCAGACAGGTTAATATCAGACAGACTGACACTCAGACAGGTTAATATCAGACAGACTGACACTCAGACAGGTTAATATCAGACAGACTGACACTCAGACAGGTTAATAATCAGACTGACTGACACTCAGACAGGTTAATAATCAGACAGACTGACACTCAGACAGGTTAATATCAGACAGACTGACACTCAGACAGGTTAATAATCAGACTGACTGACACTCAGACAGGTTAATAATCAGACAGACTGACACTCCGACAGGTTAATATCAGACAGACTGACACTCAGACAGGTTAATAATCAGACAGACTGACACTCAGACAGGTTAATATCAGACAGACTGACACTCCGACAGGTTAATATCAGACAGACTGACACTCAGACAGGTTAATAATCAGACAGACTGACACTCAGGTAGGTAGCACTCTCCATACTGCCCTAATTCTATTCCTATACCGCTTGATGTTCAGTTCTGAACTGACTGAGCCGCGTGTTCTTATTTTACCAGCAGAAACCACGCTGACTAGCTTAGTACATAGCTCACCTCGCTCACCTCGCTCACACTCTATCGGTTTATGGGATTAATTCTCTATAACAAGACATCGCAGATATTGGGCACAGTCAGTGTCACTCACCTCGTCCTAAACCCCACTCACACTTCAACCCGAGCCACTCAATTAGCCATACACCACACTCACACTTTTATCTGTACCACTCACTGAGCCCCACACTCCACTCAGTCTGCACTGAGTGCCACTCACTGAGCCCCACACTCCACTCAGTCTGCACTGAGTGCCACTCACTGAGCCCCACACTCTGATCAGTCTGAGCCCAACACTCCGCTCAGTCTGCATTGAGTGCCACTCACTGAGCCCCACGCTCTGATCAGTCTGCACTGAGTGCCACTCACTGAGCCCCACACTCCGCTCAGTCTGCACTGAGTGCCACTCACTGAGCCCCACACTCCGCTCAGTCTGCATTGAGTGCCACTCACTGATCCTACACTCCACTCAGTCTGCACTGAGTACCACTCACTGAGCCCCACACTCCGCTCAGTCTGCACTGAGTGCCACTCACTGAGCCCCACACTCCGCTCAGTCTGCATTGAGTGCCACTCACTGAGCCCCACACTCAGCTCAGTCTGCATTGAGTGCCACTCACTGATCCTACACTCCACTCAGTCTGCATTGAGTGCCACTCACTAAGCCCCACACTCTGATCAGTCTGCACTGAGTGCCACTCACTGAGCCACACACTCTGATCAGTCTGCATTGAGTGCCACTCACTGATCCTACACTCCGCTCTGTCTGCATTGAGTGCCACTCACTGAGCCCCACACTGCACTCAGTCTGCATTGAGTGCCACTCACTGAGCCCCACACTGCACTCAGTCTGCATTGAGTGCCACTCACTGAGCCCCACACTGCACTCAGTCTGCAGACACTCACTGAGCCACAAACTTCACTCAGCCTGCATTGAGTGTCTCTCACTGAGCTCCACACTCCACTCAGTCTGCATTGAGTGCCACTCACTGAGCCACAAACTTCACTCAGTCTGCATTGAGTGTCACTCACTGAGCCCCACACTCCGCTCAGTCTGCATTGAGTGCCACTCACTGAGCCCCACACTCCGCTCTGTCTGCATTAAGTGCCACTCACTGAGTCCCACACTCCGCTCAGTCCGCAGTCAGTGACATTTACATTAAATCCCAATATTACACTACATTCCACCACGCGCTCATTCCAATGACACAGATGAGTGTCAGCTTTGAGGCCAAGTAATATTTTTTTCCAATTAACACTTCCTCTGGAACACGAATGAGAATGAGCATCTATTTTCTTACAGCATCGGATTACACTATCCTGTAAATGTAAACCCTACACACATTCTAAAAACTAAACAAAAAGCCCCCCAAAAAAGTAAAGTGCAAACCATGTCTGGCACTGAAAGGGTTAATACAATGACTCCATGAGACTGTCTGCCTCCACTTACCAGATCCACATCCATGTTCTGCAGAGAGTCCAGTTTGCCGTGCTCCAGGTACAGTGCTGAGAACACTCAGTGTCAGAGCAGTGAGTGAGTTGTGATCTGCCAGGAGGAGGCTGAGTGCTTTTTAAGTGCCCTCCCAGCTCTCCACCCCCCATTGATTCAGAGCCATGCCCCCTTTGCCCATCCTACATACAATAAACACAATAGCTGCTAATTGTGACTGTCTCACCACCTCCTGTTGTTCATCCTGCAGCTGGCTAACCTTTCTTAAGCATCTGTAAAAAACATCACTTAGAGCTAGCACTACAACTTGTGCCTCACAAGACAGAGGTGTGAATGTATGTATATAAATCATCTTATTAGTTAATTAGAAACATGCTTCAGGCCAATGTAGAGTGTCACTAGGAATTATCATAGAAGGATTTAGACAGGAATAATAATATATATACACATTATATACATTCCTGTCTATATATATCTATCCATTGTACAGCGCTACGGAATCTGACGGCGCTATATAAATAATAAAATAATAATATAATATATACACATTATATACATTCCTGTCTATATATATCTATCCATTGTACAGCGCTACGGAATCTGATGGTGCTATATAAATAATAAAATAATAATATAATATATATACACATTATATACATTCCTGTCTATATATATTTATCAATTGTACAGCGCTACGGAATCTCATGGCGCTATATAAATAATAAAATAATAATATAATATATATAACAATATTTAAAATGTATTTAAAAAAAAAAAAAAACTACCATTGCACCAGGCATAAAAAAAACCAGAGAAATATCACAGCATTCCACTAATACTTAGAACTGCTACAATCTCCCCAGTCATACTGCATAATTTTTACTTATAGAAATACAACGTATACATTCTGTTCAAATACATTTATTTATATATATTTTTAACTTTTTAACAAATTGTGGTACTTACACACTACTTTAATAATATAATAAAAAATGTATAAAAATAACATAAACAATAACAAATGGGTATAAGGAAAAAAAAAGAAGAAAAGAAAGGTGGAAATCGGTAACTAATCGGTAAGTAATGTTATAATTCACAGATATATGACCCTTATAATCAATTATACCATATGAAAAATAAATCACATCAGACATAAAGTGACACAATATCTCCTAGAAAATGTATCACAGTACTTGACCATATAACAAATATAGATGTTGTAACAAAAAGCGCACTCATTATTTATTAAGCTAAATGTCTTTCTCTAACACTTTTTCCTAAGAATCCCATAACTGTCCCAGTTGTACATATATTGCAGAAGATTGTCTTTGCTTTATAATATTGCTCACCTACCCACAAAATACCCAGTCACCTTGCCAGCACGCCAAACCGTTCTTAGGGTCATAGTTGAGTAAAATCTGTTGTATGTATCTAATGCCATGAAGAGTCATCTTCTGTGAACATCAGCCGTGTTCCCTAATTCACTGCCTAGAGCCCTTCTCCCCACCAAGACCCTGCAAGGTGTCTGTAGCATCAACTATGTTTTAATAATAGACCATTGAACCTCCGTACAACAGGGACCAATGCTTGAACTTCTGAAGGTGGCATTTCTATAGACTGTAAGCTTGTTTGAGCAGGGCCCTCTTCAACCTATTGTTCCTGTAAGTTTTCTTGTAATTGTCCTATTTATAGTTAAATCCCCCTTCTAATAATATTGTAAAGCGCTACGGAATCTGTTGGCGCTATATAAATGGCGATAATAATAATAATTTCTTAATGTTCCCATTTGTCGTGGGCATTACTACTTTTGTATTTTTCAAAATACAATACGGGCAATTGACTTGATCCACTATATATGCATGAAATTGCCTAAGTGTTAGTCCCAGGGACATGGCTGAGGTGTACTTTGTAACAGACTATTAATCCAATACTTTATGAAGCCTGTGTATGATAAGACCATCAGTGAAAGGGTGGGCTTTGTAATATCTTACGTTGGGGGGTTTCTTACTCTTTTTGAGCTAATCTCGTAATGACGTACAAGCACTGGGCTTCTTGTATCATTGGCTAAATAGGATTTTTTTTTCCACATTTTCCCATTTATCTTTTAATGAAACCCTTAATAGCTAAACAATAGGGAAAGCAGGTGGTTCAGTTGCATTAGAAATCTCGAATAGAATGGATTTGGGAACTCTGTTTCCCCTTCAGCTACATGTATCAGGGGAGGAGAGGAGCTTTGCACCCATTGTCAGAAACCTCTCAGTACATCATTGGATGTCATAACATACACAGGGGCCTTATGGCTGGCAACGCATTATGGGGGCTTAAGTTCTACAACATTTTAATAACTACTATTTTTATTATATTTAGAAAAACTAATGCTGAATGGCGCAAGCAGTGTGACTTACAGCAGTCCAGCTTTTGTTAGATTCTATGGCCTATCATCCTTATTAATAGGAATTGTAGTCACACAACAGCTGCAGAACTTAAATCCTCTCCTAATGCTTTTTAATTCCTATTAAACGTATATATGGTTAATGTGAGATTTATTTTTCTTTTCTTGTTGCACAAGAAAATGTTGTAAAACACGTAAAAATTAAATCCAAATCTTTTAATTATTTAAGTAAAGTACTCTAAAAATCTATACAAAAACGGCATTGTCTCCAGAAATCCTTCCCATTAGATGGAACAAGTTACGCGTGTTTCTATGAATTAAAAGAACATATTTTCCAGTGAGAAAGTGCTGCATTGTGTAAAACGTGAGTCCTCTAAAAACCTTATCAATTGGCTAATTTGTTAAGATTTGAGCTCCTCTTTCTTCTGAGCTTATTACCAGACAGACTAATTAATGAATCTTGCCCCAAGCAGTTACATCAAAGCAGAGAAAGCTCTGTTTCCAAAAACTGGCTGTATTAACATACAAAAGGGGGATCAGATCACTGAAAGCAGGATTTTGTCTGTTGAACTGAACCTGGAATTAACGCAGCATTGAATCCAGTTTCTGTATATATACAGACTGGCAAAACCACTTAATTTCTGCTTGAGTGAAACCCACCAACCTGCTCAGTTACTTACCATACACACCCATTATAAAAATCGAGCTTGCTGTTTACTGACTTTTAATTAAAGGAATACTATAATGTTAGGTATACAGATATCTATTACTGACACTATAGTGCTGATGTGACTATCTAGGTGACCGACCCTGCTCCGATCGTGCTAAAAATTCAATTTTACTCACCTTTTCTCCTATGCCAGGCCAGTCTCGCAGCAGCTGGCCCTGTCTCCATGGCTCAGATTACCAATCTTGATGAACTCGGATCCAATGCTTTGCCATAGACAATCTTGCGCCAATCACCATTTTCTTATAGAGATGCATTGAATCAATGCATCTCTATGGGGAACATTCAGCAACTTCATGCAGAGCGTGGAGATGATGAATGCCAGTTCTGCACACTACGCAGCACTGGACAAGGATGCACCTCTAGTGGCCGCCTGCGTGACTGCCACTAGAGGTGTTCCTAGGCAGCAATGTAAACACTGCCTTTTCTCTGAAAATGCTATGTTTACATTGAAAAGCCTGCAGCGACAGACTGTAGGCACCAAAACAACTACATTAAGCTGTAGTGCTTTGAATCTCACAGAGAGAAATGTGCTATAAAAATCACAATTTTATTATTATTATTATTACAGTGGTTCTGGTGACTATAGTGTCCCTTTATATCCAGACTGTAGCTGACATAGGACTTCTTATCCTGTAACACTCCTTGCGGATCACCCACACCCAATTTTGTCGCACATTTTAAAGCATTGATAAACTGTTTAGAAACCTGCACAGTATAAGGTGAATAGCAGGCTTGAAATAAGTGGTACCCAGGTAAGAGATAAAATAAAACCCAGAGATTATCTTTGTTGTAATTCTAATAGCCTTTATTACCCTCTCCCTAAACTTTCTTAATTTACAAACAACACAAGCCCAGTAAAACTTCACAACATAACAAAATAAACAAAATAGCAGCAGATTATTATAGATTAAAAAATACCAAACTAGACTCAATATAACTATTGTTTGCTGCAGGGGAGGGCTGGTTATGTTTAGCCAGGGGGCAACTACAACAAATTTCACAATTTGAGGTTAAACCAGCAGATTGTCACATCTCATTCCATTCATTTCTTAATTTTATGTTAAATTAGTAACCAAATACTGTAATAACTGGAATATAATAATATTAATAAAAAAGCAGTGTTACATATATATATGTTATACTAGAAACATAGAAACATAGAATGTGACGGCAGATAAGAACCATTCGGCCCATCTAGTCTGCCCAATTTTCTAAATACTTTCATTAGTCCCTGGCCTTATCTTATAGTTAGGATAACCTTATGTCTGTCCCACACATGCTTAAACTCCTTTACTGTGTTAACCTCTACCACTTCAGCTGGAAGGCTATTCCATGCATCCACTACCCTCTCAGTAAAGTAAAACTTCCTGATATTATTTTTAAACCTCTGCCCCTCTAATTTAAGACTATGTCCTCTTGTTGTGGTAGTTTTTCTTCTTTTAAATATAGTCTCCTCCTTTACTATGTTGATTCCCTTTATATATTTAAATGTTTCTATCATATCCCCCCTGTCTCGTCTTTCATCCAAGCTATACATGTTAAGATCCTTTAACATCCTTTAACTATGAGGCAGCAATCCACAAACCTGGTTTGCTTCCAGACACACGAGACAGAATACTTTTGCATCTATCCATCTTATTTGCCCTGAATTTGCACATGTTAAGCGGTAATAATTAATTATGATTATTTCTCATTAGACACCAATAAAAAGATAAGCTAGCGTAATTCTTGCTCACACTGACTTTGTGCTCGCTATGTGTATTGCTGTTCTAATAATCAGCCCACCAATTATTAACCTGCCTTCCACTAGTGATAAACCCCCCAGGAGGCCGGCTACACGAACTCATTTACTTGCAAAGTCTTTTGTTTGAATTGGCCCATTTCCTGTATTGGACTGCAGTTAATTCAGCTCTTTAAATGTGTTTTCTTTGCAGCAAGTGACCAAATTGCCGAGTGATACATTATTCATCCATCCATTTTT